TTACAGCGGTATCCAAGGAAACACTGTATCTGCTGTTCCATGAGCGCCTCCTGCTGTCAGAGTGAATCTGTGTCTCATTCAGAGCTTCTGCTGTTTGCTTCATTCAGGCATATAGTATTATTTCACAAAGCTAGTCAGAACAGAACATTCTGTGTTTGCTTCAAATTGGGTTATTATTAAATAAAATTATGTATATGAAATTATATAACTAAATGGTATGAAATGATATGTATATGAATTATATAACTAAAATTAAATAACTGTAATTACAGATTTAGGTTAAATAAAGATGTCAGTCTTCATTTTTCTTCTTTTTAGGAAAAAAATCAAAGAAAAAATAAACAAATTCTACTGTTCCGAATATTCTGTATGTTGCTAAACACAACATATATTGTGTTCAGTGTAGATTTTTATATATTTTTTTTTTTAAATAACACATTTTAGAGCTGCAACGACAACACCGTGATACCGTTATATTTTTGCTTAAGGTTATCATACCGTCAAAATCTCATACCAGCCCATGCCTAGGGGGAAGCCAATTTCAGCTATTTTATTTTTCAATGACCATTTTTGCACTACATGATTTATAATATTACAGTTCAAACGTTTGTGGTTACGATTATTTTTATTTTTTTATTAATACTAACTTCTATTCAGCAAGGATGTTTTAAATGGATCAAAAGTGACCGTAAAAACATTCATAATGTTGCAAAATATTTCTATTTCAAATAAATGCTGTTCTTTTTAACTTTCTATTCATCAAAGAATCCTGAAAGCATATTAGAATGATTTCTGAAGGATCATGTGACACTAACGAGTAATGAAAATGCAGTGAAAATTCAGGAATAAATACCATTTTAAAATATAAAACAGTTATTTTAAATGAATGATACACAAGTAATAATAAAACGTAATATTTCACAATATTGTATTGTTGATCAAACAAATGCAATTCTTTCAAAAACATAATAATAAAAAATATCTTATCAACCCCAAACATTTGAACAGTGGTGTATAAGTGTTCAACTGGCCATCAGCCATCCTCCACTGTAAATATGGGTACAAAGACAAACTGTTCGCTCACTTATTTTTATTATGAAAATTTGATATTTTCTACAAGCAAAAAGCCTTGGAATCTTACTCTGCTTTCATGTTAAATTACCTGTTGTGAAACCGTACGCTGGTTTTACATGCATGCGGTGCATATTTATTTTGGTGCCCATATTAGCAGGTCTTCACAGTGTCTGTGTGAGAGGTGTGATTGTGTGCAGCAGGAGACTCGACACTGAGCCTAGTTTTGCTCATAACACACAAAACACTGTTAAAATGCGCTGTAATAACATTCATCAAAAAAAGTCTGTCGTGCAAATCCAATGCATTACAACTCACTAGCTGTAACTGATTGATATCGTATAAAGCTATACTGAATTACAATAATTAGTTGATTTAATATTTAAGATCACTTTGTTATAAACCTTTACGATGTGTTCAAACAAACTACATTTCCCGTGAGCAGCTGCAGAGCGGGGATTGGCAGTCGGCGCTCTCAACTGGTTTACAATTAGTTGCACTATTGTTCTGCTACAATTAGTTACTTCTTGTTCAGTAAAGTTACACACAAAGACGAGATGACTCCTCTCTCATTATTTCACTCCATACTATTTCACACTGCTTATGTGTGATGTGAAACACACCGAACACAGCCTTATGCCCTGCTATCATAAATACCCAAGCATTCACGATCATCTGAGCGATAACAAGTAAAATGATGGAGACACACCATTTCATTTCATCATGTTTTTGCATTACTAATCATTTGACGTTCTGACTGAGAACTGCAAAGTGTTCACATTATCACCAAACATCAATCAATCATGCAAAGAACGGCCCAGCTTAGTATAGTGCAGAGAGAATCACTTCACAGATCTGTCAGATACTCCAGCAGAAAGATCAGAAAACAAAATCAATCATGCAAAGAATGGCCCAGTTTAGTATAGTGCAGAGAGAATCACTTCACAGATCTGTCAGATACTCCAGCAGAAAGATCAGAAAACAACTTTTAACTTCAGGGCCTAAAGTCTGTTATTAGAATTCCTCAGTATCTTCAGACGCAACGCAGCTGCTCTCTTTAATGAAGTTTAAAGTAAAAACCCCTGAGCACTGCAGCTGTCAAACAGGTTCTGTTTGTCCTCCGACAGTCTCCGAGCTTACATCTATAAACACACACACACACACACTCACTCGCACACACACACTCGCACGCTCACACACACACTCACTCGCTCACACACACTCACTCGCTCACACACACTCACACTCACTCGCTCACACGCGCACACACTCACTCGCTCGTATAGTGCAGAGAGAATCACTTCACAGATCTGTCAGATACTCCAGCAGAAAGATCAGAAAACAACTTTTAACTTCAGGGCCTAAAGTCTGTTATTAGAATTCCTCAGTGTCTTCAGACGCAACGCAGCTGCTCTCTTTAATGAAGTTTAAAGTAAAAACCCCTGAGCACTGCAGCTGTCAAACAGGTTCTGTTTGTCCTCCGACAGTCTCCGAGCTTACATCTATAAACACACACACACACACACACACACACTCACTCACTCTCTCACTCACTC